GCGGGTAGCACAAATCGTCAGAACACCGGCCCTGCCTTTAACCCAATCAAGCCATGGCAACAGTTTAAAAGTAGCCCAATTCCAAAGAAGAAGAAAAAAACGTGGACTTGACAACCCTGCATCCAACACAAGCTGCAGGAGACAGATTTGACTGATTACGGGTTGAGAGGAGAGATGGCTGACAGACCATGCTGGAGGATTTGCTGCTCAACAGATCCTGAGCTCATTGACAAATATCTGATCTTCCTTTACACAGAGCGCACGTGATCACAAAATCGAAAGTGAACGTGAACAGTGAGCGCTCATCCAAAAGAGATTATATTCTCTGCATATTGATAGCGACCCCCTGATGCGCGAAAATTATATGCAATATTAGAATGTTTGCGGGAGTAGGCGGGACTGGACACAGTCCTCGCATGGCTCTAATACAAAAACACACACTAATGGCGACTGTAGAAAGCAAAAGCCAAACCCCGGACATTTCGGGCGATTTAGAAATCCTGGCCGGACGCATTTTTTAAGGTCCAAAAAGAGGATTTATGGTCACCCTATCATAGACCCCTCTTTTTTAGAGTGTCATGTCATCAAATATTTTAATACAATTGAATTTATATTTAACGTGATCACAGTTTAATAAAAAACATTGTAAGGTACTAATTATTTCATTATTTTATTTAAATTCCACGGTTATTCAAACAGTAAATTATATACCGAAAGCGAGCAAAGAATTTACATTATCACTAGTCTAGCATGAGTTTAAGCACTGTCAAACAACTCACATTATTATCACTGAAGCTGCCTACACTGTGAAATGAATCTCTTACTTTCATTGTACGTACATCTGCACTTTGTTGTTTATGATGAGAAAACTTAGGAGAGAGCAGAATTCAGTCAACGAGCGCGCGCACTGAACAAAACTCCAGCTTTTCAGCGTTGACTCATTTGAATGCTTCTGATTGGTCATCATTGCATTCATAAACTCAACAGAATCGTGTGTGATTGCTTATGATGTGCAACGCTGTAGAATGCGTAAAAAGAAATATTATGTGATATGCTCAGATAATGCCGCAATCAACACTTTTAATTTCATTTTGACTTTATTCGTGACAGGGAAATTCGAGCATGGCGCAGCGTCATTATGTCACGTCTGTAAACATAAAGAAGTTGTCCCGGCTAGTATGCTATATCGCACACTGCTTAGATATTTCTTAGGATTTTTAGTCTTGATCCCTTCCCTCTCAGCAGACCCGAACTTGGTTTGATGATTATGGAGAGCATCTGTAAGCCAGGGGCTGGAGGGTGTTGCACATGCTGGCCTGGGGGTGAGAGGACAGATATTGTCAAGGCAGAGATTGTCAGCAGCTACACTGACATCAAGAGAAGAAAAGTGGTTAGTTGTGGGAGGGAGGTAGAGACCACAAAGGAGAAATGTATAGCGGGGAGATAGCAGAGGTTACAGCAAAAGGAGACCAGACAACGAGTCAGTGGTGAACATGAAGGTAAACAGACAGAGAACTGGAGAAAGAAGTGGTCAGAGAGATGAAGTGGAGTAATGAGAAGGCCGTCAGTGGTACAGCTCACAGCATTTTATCCATTTATGCATTCCTGGGTAACTGAACCCTCAACACTGTCATGTAAATAAATAAATACAAATCTCAGAAAGTCAAGCATGTTGCTGCCAACACCAATGCCATGTGTTAAGAAAGCAGAAAGTTCACATGTAATGCTGAATGTGAAATAAGATGTAAATCTGTGAATCTGTTGTAAATATATAGATCTGTCAAAAGCATATTTAGATATTTGCCTAAAGCAACAGTGATGTATGAACGGGTGTGAAGTTGCCATTTGATTTCCTGTGGGCAGACTATAAGTGTTCATGTTTTCATGATGCTGGGAAGCCTTTCAAAGGAAAGTGATATTTTATTTGTATGTGTGTCACCAAGATTATTTATGTTTTTACAAGATTATTATCCAAGTAAATTTTAAGAGATTACCTAATCTATTAAATTATAAGAGAACCTAATCTTAAAATAGAATGATACTTGTGAATTTGATCCTTTCAACTAAAATTTCAGTACATTTCTCACATCTTTTGGGTAACAATGATTGCATTAAAATGACACTGGCATACATTCAGACAAGAATCGACAATGATGAAAGCAGATTTGAACTAACTTTAAACTCTGTTCTCAGTACAAGAGTACAATTCATAAACTGTCTGGTTGGGCCAAGCTGTCACAGGTGTTGAAAATCTATTTAGTTAAAAAATATATTATACAGAAATTAACCAAATGTAAATTCGGGCATAGTTCCAGACAGAAATTCTGTACTGATTCAAGGGTTCAGAAATAATTTTCTCATTAAATTTCTACCACAGGTAACTCCACTGAAGAGCAGGAAAGATTTTGTCCACCTAAATGGACAGAAGTTCTTCTGATTGTTTTTGCAGTCTCTCTGTTTTTTGCTCTTGGATGTCTCTGTGCTCTGAGTATACTGTGTGAGTATAACTAATAAATACAGTATAGTGGACATAACACATAGAGATGTATCAGTGACATCACTGCTTATATTTTGTCTTTAAACAGATGTCAGTGTTTCAGTGAAGCTGTCTGCCCAGGAAACTAATGTCACCAGTAATTTTTAACCCATTCAATACAGCAAAGTTTCATTAACAGTGCATAAAGAGAAAGGACTACAGGACTGACTTTGTCTGCTTTTTTTCTTGTTTTCTTCATAACTGCCTCTGTACCAGTCATGGTGAGAGAGACTGAGGAACTTCGAGCCAATTACACCAGAGTTACAGAAGATCTCCGCATTAACGATAGTGAGTTATGTTAGTTTCAGTCCTACTTGGACAAAGAGTACCACTTCTCAGCCAGCTTTGATTTAGCCTATTTGTTTTGTTTAGTATATACAAGTCAGTCTTTGGAATATATTTCTCCAACCACTTATTTTACTTATCTTTCTTCATAACTGTCTGTACCAGTCATGGTGAGAGAGCTTGCAGCCAACTACAGCATAGTTGGAGAACGACTGTCTTTTTATGAAGGTGAGCTGATTCCAGACCCTTTCAGACAGCGTTTGAACATTTCTGTACTATTTCAAGTATGTCATGGTCTGAAGAATGGATAAATTTTCATATGCTTTTATTTCAGCATTTACAGCTCAATCTTTGAACTGTGATATGAGCTTGGTATCTTTTCAAAACTAATAAACTTAATGTGATGCATATTTGTCAGTCAAATCATGGCATCATTTTTGAAATGCATGAATTCAAATAGCTGAGAACCAGCACAAACATGTTCATTGTGAAAATTACATTTATTCAGTTAAAAAGTATAAACATGGTTAAAATATGGCTAGCTGTGGATCAAGCAATACTCAGTTGGTTACAATGTATGAGATTGAAACCAATTGGATTTATTGATGATAAACACATAAGGTTCAAGGTTCTTTATTTGTCACCTACATATACATGTGATGCAATGTAGTGAAATGATTTTTCCATAGTTTCTCATCCCACAATGCAAAAATACTAACAACAATAATATAAAAAAAATTTTTTATATTATTGTTGAAAAAAAGAAAAATATATAAAGCCATAAACATAAATAAGATCGATACAGTGCAAATTATATATTTAATACTAATAAAATACTAATAAAAGTCTGCAGACTCATTCAGTGTCGTTATAATAGTCGGATTGCCTGAGGATAAAAATTCCTTCTCAGTCTCTCTGTGTTGGTTCTCAAAATCTGGTATCGCTTCCCTGATGGGAGCAATAACAGTAAACTGTGTCCAAGATGACAAAAGTCTTTAATAATTATTTTAGCCCTGGTCCTGCATCTCTGAATATACATTTTTGACATTTTTGATGTCAGGGAGCGAGGTCCTGATGGCTTTCTGTGCTGACCTTACAACTTGTCAATGCTTTCTGATCATGGTCCGTTGTACTTTCAAATCAGGAGATAATGCTCCCTGTGAGTAGGCTTTCCACGGCTCCAGTATAAAAAGTCCTCAACACTTTCTGTGAGACCTTGAACCTAGCCAACTGTCGTAAGTAGTAAATATGTTGATTTGCACTCCTCACAAGGTGATCTATATGCATTTTCCCCGGAAAGATCTTCTGTGAGATACTGTATACTCCAAGATATTTAAAACTGCTCACCCTTTCAACTGTGGCCCCACCGATCATCAAAGGGCTGTAATTCCTCACTTGCTTCCTCCCATAATCGATAATCATCTCCTTAGTCTTAGCAACATTCAAAGAGAGATTATTAATATGACATCACGTGAAGAGAGCATCCACTTCCTCAGGGTAGGCCTTCTCATCGTTTTTACTAATAAGGCCAAAACCACGGTGTCATCAGCAAACTTCACCAGTTTGTTAGAACTGTGTTTAGCCATGCAGTCGCTGGTATAATGAGACTAAGAGAGTAAAGCACAGGACTGAGGACACAGCCCTGGGGGGCTCCAATGTTGAGGGTGAGTGTAGAGGAGGAGTAGTTTCCCATTCTAACCACCTGGGGGTGTCCTGTCAAAAAGTCCATGATCCAGTGACAAATGGAAGAACTCAGCCCTAAATCTTGAAGCTTTTTGCAGAGGTTTAAGGGAACAACACTGTTAAAAGCAGAGCTATAGTCCACGAAAAGCATCCGCACATAGTTCCCTTTCCCCTGATCCAGATGTGAAAGAGCAGAGTGCAAAATATAGTTAAAAGCATAATCTGTAGAACTATTAGGCCTATGTGCAAACTGTAAGGGATCCAGACCGCTGGGGAGAGAGGAACAAATATAAGCTCTGACCAATCTTTCAAAACACTTCATTATTACAGAAGTGAGGGCCACAGGATGATAGTCGTTCAGAGAGGCAGGACAAGGGATTTTAGGGACTGGGATAATAATTGAAGACTTAAAACTTCTGGGAACTGGTTCTAATTGACTAGCACAGACTTTAAATACACGTGCAGGGATATTGTCTGGTCCACATGCTTTCCTGATGTTAATTTTGTATAGTTCTTTTCTAACATCCATTTCAGTAATGACCAGATCTTCATTTTCTCTTACCAAGCCCAAGATCCCATCTTTTAAATTTTCCCCATCTGTACTAGAATTACTAGCCTCAAATTGTGAATAAAATATATTTAAATAATTAAATAAGGAACCACTGGCATTAATTATAGAAGAGGATCTGGGTTTATATTCTGTTACAATTTGCATACTCTGCCGTAGCGCCCTAGAATCAGCCTGTTCAAATTGAGTCTCAATCTTGGCAAACTTGGTTATTGTGTATTTAAAATACATTGTTTATTAGTACTAAACTTACCTGTTTCTTACCCGTTTCATCTATGCATGACTGCCAAATATGCATCATGTTAAGTTTATTAGTTTATTAGTTAAGACTCTGTAATCCAAATGAATGGAAATGTTATATGCAATTCAAATAAATCTTAAATTTAGGCTTACATATATTTTGAGTGTGTTGAGCAGCCTTGTGGTTCTCGTCTTGGTAAATCTTCTGGAAAGAAACAGTGCTAATTCTAAGTGAAATTTCAGACAGCACTACAAAATGGCCAACACCCGATATAGGGGATAGGGAGCGGTTTCGGACACACAGCTCATGACAAACTGTTTGGATAAAGCCTCACTGCTTGTGAAGTTCCTTATACGTCATTTTAATGATACTTAAATGACTAAATGTAATTTAATAATGTTATTTTATAACTGTCTGATATTGGTTTGATTGGGCAACACATCTGAAGTGGTGAAAACAGTAATTAGTATTAAAACATACACTCACACATTATCAATAATAGGACATTGAAAAACAAGTAAGAGTACCTAACTTGCAGTAACTTAGCATTTAGTCTTTGAAAACATAGCAGGAATTGTATTGTATTGCAGTCATTTTGATATATAAAAGCCGAAAAGTTTCTTAATATCCATTCAATTAACAAAGCAGAACTGAAGTTATACTGTTATATTTCATAAGATAATATAAGTGAGTGAAATTTTTGCCTTATGCAAGCACTTATATCAATGACTGAATGTAAAAGGAAATAAATAACTTTTGAGCTTTAAGCACTAAAATATCAAGTATAAAGGAATCAGTTACTGAATGCAGAAAACCTGTATGTCAAGCACAAAAAAACAAACCGAAAGTGCTGTTATTTTATGCTCAGTAACCTGTACACGAAAATAGCTTCAGGTGGCAAATGCTCTCAGTACAGAGGTAAGATATTACTGACATGTTACAGAATGTTCTTTTGTTTGTTTGTTCGTGTGTTTGTTTAAATGATACCACAGAGTTCAGAAAGATAAAGAATTGAACACTTTTCTGAGAAGAACAGATATCAAGATCATACTAGGAAGATTATCACAGCAGAAAGACCTTTTGTGTAAATTGTTTCATTCATTAAACCACATTGCTATAATTTAAAGGACATAATATCAAATTAGTATTTCTTTCAATAAATACTGTAACTCTTTATCACATGACCAATATCAAGAATCCTCATTTTGTTAGTATTAGTCTTAATTCCCCTCAAATGCTTTGAGGTCTTTTAAAGAACACAAAGAACAATGGCCATAAAGTCAAATTTAAGAGAAAAGTTACGCAGAACCTATTAGTGGTGACGCTCTCACGTTAGCCACATCTGCACACAACGTCTTTTAGAAATATCTCACGAAAGAGACTGCTGGACGACCTGTTTGACCGTTATAAAAAGATGTCCCTGAGCTAATCAAATATTTGATCAGTTTTAACAACTTTATATTTCTGTATAATTTTTTTCTCCAATGACTGGAGTACCTAATTTTGTTGGATATATCCTAATAGGGATACTGAGTTCAATTGAATGTTCATGTTAAATTTTGTTTACATTTGTGAATTAATTTTTAAAAATGTAACTGGTTTTGTAAAATTGGCACATTGAACCTAATCAAATTGTAATCCTATCACAGCATGTTTTGAGCGATCTACAAAAATTGTACAGCTAAGAGAACTGATGTCAGAATATATCATGATGAACGTCCAATTTACACCTTGAACCTATTCAGAAATACATCACTGACCCCAAAAGGAGGACCTTAAATGTCAGGGATTGAGAAGTTACTTGTCTGGGACACTTTATCACTGCAACACTTCATTTCTGACCCCAGGCACTTTCCCAAAATGGAGTTATTTGTTCTGATTGTTCTGGATTTCTCTCTTGTTTGTGCTGTTGGAGGTCTCTGTGCTCTAGGAATGCTTTGTGAGCATAACTCATAACTGATACTATATTAAATTAGTTCATTATTTAAATACAATTAATTGTATTCAATTGTATTGAATTGTGATGAGTGTATGTTCCTCCATCTCTTTGCATGCTGAATTATAACTGATCTTGTCTGCCTTTCATACTGTATATCTAAAACTTTGGCGTGTATATGCTACGCGATGGGTAGGTTTAGGGTTGTGGGGTAGATGCGTATCATATGTACGCGAAATCTGCGTATCATATGCACGCGAAATCTGCGTATCATATGCACGCGAAAACTGAGTATTATATGCACGCCAAACACATGCGTATCATATGCACGCCAAAGTCCATTTTTGCGCATCAATACCACGAGTTTTCGTTTTTATTTGGCGT